ACAGGCTCAACATATCTCGTTGTGCTCTGCACGTTATTTCGTCAAAGGGCGTGGCCGTGGCGTGCGCTTGAAGTTTTTTGAGCGTTTTGGCAACTTGCCAAAAAAGTAAATGCTTATATCTCTGCCATCTACTGTTCAATCATATTAAAATTTCTCATGCATGATACGGGACCCGCCTTGAACACATCCATGATTGACATTTTTTTGCTTAGTCACAGCGCCACCTGTTGACAACAGGAAGTTACTGCTTCTCAATTAGCAATAGCCATTGCTACACGGTAGCTCTGAATTTTACTATGCGTTTCTAACATGACAAAACCTACAAAAAAGCCTTTTCAACCAACGCCCAAAACTCAACAGGAAGTCCACAGATCACATCGCCATCAAACAGGAAGTGGCTGTAACTCTTATATACTTTGTCTGATCTTCTTGAAATTACATGATCAGGGTTGGCCTCTGAACACAGTGACACAAAAAAATAATAAAGTTTAACCATAGCGCCCCCTAATGCAAGGACTAAGTACTACATCATACATACTTTCTCGGATCTGCTTAAAATTTCCCAGGTATGATCAGGGTTGGCCTCTGAACACATTGACATAACATTAGTCAACTTCAACAATAGCTCCCCCTACTGCAAAGAGTAAGTACTACATGCTATATACAATGCTCAATTTCCTCCAAATGTCATAGCTATCATGGCAGTGCCAGCCTGAACTGCTCTACGTCTATTTTACGTGATCTTCATTGCGTTGCCTATTTCAACATGCCAGTACTACGACTTTTACACAAATCGAACTGCACGGCCTGCTGCTTAGCCACGTTCCGCTGCTGCTGCACTCCCGCAGTCGCAACACACCCCGACATGCACAGGGGTGTGAGGGCCTTCATCACCGCTTGCGGTTTTTATTACATTTTCTTTACAACAGGTGGTAAGACGTATTGCTTTGTCTACAGGGGAAACTAAAATCTACACAAAGTGAAAGTAAAAAATATAATTGTTTTAAGGAAAACAGAAAAGCAACGACCACTGCAGATGAGGAGGTAACAGAAATCGGGGAGAGGACATTGAAATGATTTGGTTCACATATCATTAAGAGCATATCAGGCTTCAGAACTCACAATGTTCATACATGTACAGCTAATCAAAGGTACAAAGGGTGGAAAAGGTTAAAGAAATATTTCTGAACACTTACATTAAAGATTCTTTCTGGTGTCCACTGGTAGAAGTTTGATTTGTGTTTATACAATAGATCTGAGCTGAAGAGTGAAATTGAAGTGGCTGGAAGAGGAAATGGAACATCCCTGAGATGAGTCACATGACCCTGGTGTGTTCTGTCATAACACACCCTTCTCTATTACAGCACAAAAAATCTTTGTGATGCTTTATCAGATATTTGGAGTATACTTCCTCACCATACAGAGGCTCATTCTTCATGAATGTAATGTTAGTTCACATAAGATCACTGAAAACAGCCGCTGGGGGTTGAAATTATTTACAAATCAACGTTTGAACTTGAATGAATGAAACCTTAATTGCCCCTAGGGGAATTTGCCCATAACAAAAACATCAGTTTTGTATCCTGGATGAGAAAACTATTACACTCATTGTGAAACACAACAAAAAATACAATAAAAATACCATTTATCTCAAGCATGAAATCTATTTTTAAGAACAATGGATTATTTTAGCAAGAGTAGTAACCAAAATCATTTTTCACATTTTTATATATCGAATCCTGGTTCAAGATAAAGATCAGCCTGTGATTTGCCAAAACTAAGACGTTAGAGGGATTTTTCCCCAACAATTATACAATATATCAACACAAATGTGCAGACCGCCTTGACAAATTTCAAACTTTTTTTATTCAGAAATCTTTATTGATGTCACATACTGGGCAAGCCCTTTTTCAGAATGCTTAAACACATTCTATTTGAGGGAGGAGGTGTTACTTGAATGGCCAACAGGATCAGGTTCAACTCGTTTTACAATGTCTGTGAAGATTCTCAATCATTACAGACATACATCATTACAAGCTTGATACAAAAGGATTTCTTGGAAGGTCTTGAAAGAATTGAAAGACCAAACAAAAGCAGCTTTGTGAGGCTACATACTATAGAACAGAGCTTTTAGCTAAATGTTAACTTTAACATGTTACACTCACAGCAACAAGCTGTTTTGAAGTAGATTTAATGTTCACTGTTAATAAGCTAAATGTGTAAAACTAATATTTGTTTATAAGCTTGAACAAGCTAGCCCTCGATGGACATAAATATATGGAGCCAACCAGAATTCACGACTATCCATCTGGAGACCAACAATTTATGCATAGAGTTAAACAACAATTGATCAAGTAGATTAAATGTTGCAGTCAAGATGAGATGATGACAAAGATGACATACCAACTGTCAGACCAAAAGACCAACCGACATTGTTAAACATAGATCCATGCTGCTAATGCTAGCTTAGCTAATAACTAAGTTAAGAATGTGCTTTACATTGGTTTGACCTGATATTCAGATTGTTTACAATTCTGATTTGATTTTTTTGTTCAATTCTTCATTTAGAGAAATGTTGAGACCATTTCACAGATTGCTGTGCAGTGACATGTTTTATTTGATTTGTGTATTGTGATCGAGCCTAACTTTTCAAAAATTGTCCCAGCAGTATGAACTTCCTGTTTATTTTTTGTCAATCTCTCTTGCTACCGTTTATACTCTAGTGTGGTTACTACTACTAAGGCAACATTAAGCAAAACAGCAAAAGCCATGGCACGCAACAAAACCAGAAAATTCCAGAAAGCACAGACCTGAAACTAAAACAGGTGAATAAGTGTCCCAGCCCTTGTTTCCTTGTCATTGCAGATTGGGAGGAAGTGAGAATGAGGGGTAAAGTTGTGTCATTATGCATTGAATGAATCTACCTATGTTTTAACATAATGGGTTGATACCTGAAAAACTGTATTTCGGTTGAGTGTGCTTGAATTCTGAGATTAAAGTCCAAATTATTTTTTTTTAAATCAGAACGAGATATTTCAAGAGGTAGAAGAAAGAGGTATTTCACACTCATTCATAAAGATCGGTTTACTTCCTCGTGGCACACAAAGCATTGATCTATCAAACTCAAATCTCTTTAGCAGTAAACAATACGCCTGGTTACCTTGGATAACCTTGTTTTACCTTGTTTGTGCCATGAAGAAGAGTATACAATTACTCTATGAGGCAGGAGCTGTACTTAACATAAACACGTGTTAGCATGGAACTTTGAAACTTTGAAACCAAATCTCTTCAAACATGAATGACAAATGTGATGCCATGTCAACATGGCTGATATAAATCTAACTCAATACAGGTGTTCTTTTAACTCTCACGTTTTATGCAAAACTAAATCCATGTATAAAAACTCTTTCACTTTTAGGAGCACCATAATGTAGTTGTAAGCATACTGATAAAATTTGTACGTGTTACTTACCATTATGTATGTATTTTCTAACAACTTGTGAAAGGGAGGCACTTATTGATTGAACAATATTGACATGTCTGCTGTGAGGTTAATATATTTACACAATTTGATAAGGGAATGTTTGGATATTTAAAAGGCCTTCTTTGGAACTATGACCGTGTTTAGGTTTCAGTAATGGAAGATTGATGCTGCCTTCAAAGACACCTAGGCAGCCGTTTATTCTGCAACTATCTCCATTATTTATGAAGAGTGAATTCTTTCCTGAGCACAGGTAGATGTGATCAAAGATTCCTACCTTTATAGAATAAAAAAGTCAGTGGTAGGTATTTCATCGCTATCAGAGACATGCTGATCTTGTTTGTGCCAGATTTCCGTGCAGGGCAACTTTTCATGGCACAAATCAATTCTGTGGATGATGAAACCCAACATGGAGCCAGTTATTCCTTCACAACAAACATGAAGTAACTGATGTCTGCAAAGTTTGCAGTTTCATGCCAACACATGTGGTTTCAAAATAGATTGAAATATTTGAGTATGACTCCGATACAGATGTAACAACTTATGAGATAAATCTGACACGTCTGAAAGCAGAGGTTTATAGAGGTTAGAAAGAGAGCAGTGATAAGCGGAGCTAGGAGCCATCCATCTCATGGAATTCCAGTGTTCTTCACCTCACAAGACTCATCATGCTTGGCACAGCTGCATGCCCTTGAGCAGAGACATCCGACACCAGCACTTCAAACACAAAGATACAGGTGAAGACTACCCGCTTTATCTGCCATGGTTCTTTAAGAAAACATACCCCAATATCTGTGTTTGGGTACGATCATTTCTGAGTTTGGAAGTTGTAAAAAAGTAAATTGAAGAAAGTTGTTTTCTTACTAAAAAAAAACAAATTACACAAACGGCTGATTTATTATTATTATTTTTGACAAATACTGAACTAGTTTTAGACACAATAAAACCAAGAGGCAACAGGAGCAATGGTTAGGATGAAGCCAATCTGTGTCAGGACAGATTATTTTAGTAAAGGAAAATACAGAAACAACCAAAAATCTAGATCTTGAAAAAACATTTTGGTGACTCGAACTAGAAATGAAAAGGAGGCTTTGAAATGTATTGTTTACAAAACTACAAAAAATGAAAGTGAGAAAATGTCTTTTTAGTGACACACATCCTTTTGTCTTTTGTGGATTTTGTGGTTCATCTTTTGTTTGGAGAACATTTCTCCATTGTCTCCTCAGTTTGAGAAACTCTTTGGCCTGTTTAAAGTCCTCCTCACGACTCCCAACAGTTTTTCACCTTATGAGCTCTCTTAAGGGATGATCTAGTCTCAACTTTATGTGGAAATTCTTAGAAAATGTCACGATTCTAAGAGTTTTCTTAGAATTTTGTCACTAGGAGCAACTCTTAGTGCTCAGGAGGCTTTGTGAATACAGCCCCAGGTCCTCTTGATCTTTCTCTACCCGAAATGTATTTTCAAGCACATTAAAAAAAGGACTCTACATGAAAGAAACCCACACAAGTTTGAAAAGGATCCTCTTACCATGTTTTTTTTTATTTGGGATCAAACTATAACCTGGTTACAATGTTCATCTCTAAAGCTAACTTTCATCAGGAACACACAAAAATATCGAAATGTCCCGTGGCAGGAGGGAACAATAAGTGCTTTTTGCTTAGAGAGGGGCTCGACCCACGCAGGCATTCACACCGTCCAATCCCAAAACAGGAAAAGTGAGCCTGGAAATTTAAACAGGATGTCTGAAAACCTTTCAATATAATAAATATAAATACATCTGAGGTTTTCTACAGACCATGAAAAGGACATGACAAAAATAGCTTTGTTTCAAACTCAATGCACTGGCATAAATAAAGTGTAATAATAACATTAATTACAAGAGTTATGACAAAGCTTCAAGGAAAGCAAAGTGTGCCTGGCCCTGTGAAATGTAAGGCTCGGGCCCTTTACATGTCCAGCTTTCTTCTTTCTTCACAGTAGATGCACAGAGAGTAAAGTACAATCTGCAGATGTGTCAGAATGAGACATTGATTTCTTTGGGGACATCGACTCAACACAGTTCTGGATGAATCAAAGTCATGAGTCAAATTGTTGTGGTTACCAGCTGATCATGTTCCAACTTTTCAGTTCTGCCTTTGTTTAAATTCATGAAAGGAAAAAAACCCTAACATAATGCTTTCTTAAAAAAAATGTATTTAGCCTATGCGCTATTTTTCTTCACTGCAAATGAGTTGATAAATTATTTTAAACAAAAATAATAACAGAGATAAATTACTTTTAAGAAGAAAGTAGAATCACTGTGCTGAGTGTGATGTGTTGACAGCTGCTATATGATGATAGTAGAGAAAATAAATCTGCTGCAGTAAGACAGCCCAACCTTTTCATATTAAATAATTCATTGATGGCTTCTTCCTGAAAAATAATGAAAAAAATGCAATGGTGGAAGAAAACATAAACCAAAGAAATATACATGAGAAATGGATGTCTAAAAATATTATAATTCAATGCACACAAAAGTCTCTGAAAGTCCCAGCCGTAGTTTATAAAGATGAAGCCTGACAGGTCGTGGAGGAGGAGGAGGAGGAGGGGGGAGGAGTAGAGGAGGAGGGAGAGGGAGAGGGGGAGGGGGAGGGGGATGGGGAGTGTTGGTCATTCCTATCAGCAGTAGCCAGAAACAGAGAAGCCGGGCCAAGAAGAGAAGACGTGGTGCTGCACCTCTTTGTGGTGAGAAAGAGAGGAGGAGGAAGGAGAGAGGAATGGACGTCACTCCATGATGGCTCTGTAAATGACCGGTTCAATGTAGTCCTCTCTGTAGCGGGAGTTGATCACTCGTTGCCTCTTGGAGGTCTCTTTGACTTCGTTCTTTGTGAAGAGCTCAAACCGCATGTCGGACGCCACAGACTGAGGAGCGAACACAAGATTTGAATTAGAAATGAGCACTTTCTGATCTCAAATAACAACAAACCTGGCTATACGTCACATCTAGCGGCATGTTTTGTTAGCATAATGAGGTTCCAAGACCCTCTGATGAGATGAAGGAGTGAAGGGTACCATGCGTGACTTGACACGTTTGGGCAGATCCTCATCAGGAGTGTAGAGGTCTTCTCGTTTCACAGAGATTTGTGAACCGTCCTCAAACTCCACCTAAGTGTTACAAACACACACACAGAAGTACATTATTATACAGTCAGTCTGCTTGAATTATGCCTTTAATAGTTATAATGTTACAAAGCAGTATTTACTACTAAGAAATTGTATCATTATTTCTATCTAACCAACCACAGAACTCGATCAGAGGAGAAACTGTGTAATGAAGCCATCTACATGAAGGCCGTCTTCTTTAAAGAGATCATATTGATGGGCGAGCTCGCCTATATATTTTTAATGCTTTAATTGAGTAAAGCCTGGGTTAGCAGGTCAGGGGCAGAGACAGAAGCCGCATACAGACCGCGATTTTGCGGAAGCCCTGTAATGAAGTTCTGCTTTCATTACCCCCTTGTACTTACACATTGCACCCATAACGGCATAATATTGGTTTCCCAGTGCATTACGGCAGAAGGCAGAGAAGGGCGAGAGGCACACAGCTGGAGCGCCACATAAACACGCGATAAGGCGCGCGCACGCAGAGGAGGTTTACCAGGTACATAGGGATGGAGTGTGATGCCACAAACTTGGCTCCATATATCAACCCGTCCGTCCATCGCACTTGAACAGCATCGCCTTCAGCAGGTGGGCCGAGCCGGACGCAGTCACGGTTCTGTTAGAAGAAAAAGTGGAAGGTGAACTCAGGATACATAGAAAGAAAACAATCTCAAAAGAAAACTAAGCAAACCATATCTACACTATGTGTGAACTAAACATTCACGCACGCACACACACACACACTCCGTGTTTTTCACGTCATCCTCTCACATCCTTTTACTTGAATGAGTAAAGACGATTGGAAGCTCATTCTTTACCTCGATGTCCTCTGGGAAGAGGTTGTCGCTGTAGGACCCGTCGTCGAACACAACCTCGTAGAAGGTGGCTGCGGTCAGCTCCATCAACTCGCTGTGGTAGTAACGGCCATTTTTGTGCTTGCAGATCACCCTCTGCCCTGCCATCAGCTCTCGCATGGAGGCCTTGTTACGCTAGGAGGCAGACATGGAGACTCACTCGAAGGAGTTTATCACCCCTCAATACTTTATGCACAGCAAAGATAAGTGGGCCAATAAGCAGCACATGTGTAAAGAGACAATGCAGCCAGGCTCCCTCTTCTGTTATAAATAAACCAATATTGTGTGTGTTGCATTGATACTGTTCTTCTTTGTGGAACAAAATACACAAAAATAGAGTAACAGCTGAAAGTTTACAAAATCAAGCCCAGACTTGTCGTCACATAGTTTAACACCATGACAGCAGACACGAAACCCCCACAGCATATTCTTCTTGCAAAACATTGTCTCTGCATATTTCTCGACAGGACCATACAGATGGCTGTCTCCCCCAATTAGAGAATCACAGCAGCATGAACAACAACACAAGTAAGAATCCCTCTGGTTGTTTAAAAATAAACCAGTTTAAGTTTTACAACAACTACAACTAACATCATGGCTGACTAAACAGGAGCTGGGAGAGCTGGAAGTCGGCATACACAGGAAGAGTGAGACTTCCTGCACATCATAGATAAACATGAGCCCAACATGTGTTTGTGCTAGTTTACCTCAGGTATGACGGGTGTCCGGTGTCTGTGGCAGGTGATATAGACTATGAACGGCCAGTCGTCTGGGTGCATGAGGACACCAGCTGCCTGAGCACAGGTGGGGTGAAACGCGGTGGAGCAGCGTCCATTGGAGCACTGGACACAGCAGCCTTTCACGTCTCTCTTCATCCGTTTCCTGCAGTACGCACACTTCTACCAGAGCAACACATGTTTGGAGGGGAGTGTGAGGTCAAGATGGCGAGTTATGAGTGGTTAAAGTACAGGAAGTAGAGAGGAAGGAAAGGAGGAGAAAGGAAACAAGCCAAGTAAGGAGGATGAGAGGGAGAAAGAAAAAAAAAAATGTTAAAAGGAGTACAATACAGGCAGCCCCAGACGTGAACTGGGACAAAGAGACCTTAGAGGGAAGTGACGTAACTTCCATTTGATCTTTTAATACAACTGTGACATCATATGCAGTCGTGGTGGGCGATATAGGTTTTTATAAGGATTTTAACATGCTGACGATCTGCCAAAACAGAAAGATCGTAGAACCGGCCTTATGTTTATTCTATCATGCTGCAGTTTATGCTCCAACACAGACTCGTCTCCACCTCTTTTGCTCCGCAGCGGTGAAAACGAAAACAAAATTTAAGTCCACAAAAACAACTCCATCCCGGTTATATGAAAATGTTCTGATATTTTCTCAAGCCGACTCGGCGTGAGCAACAGTCAACTTATTTGCATAGTTAAATTTACATCTGAGATAGTGACACAACGAACCGTTTAACGAGCCGGAGAGACGTTCAGTCTGCAGACAGACAGACAGAGCGGAGCTCAGACAGTCAGTGGAGATATAACCCCGGTGTTTAAAATGTTGCTCTGTGTTTTCTGCTCTCTCTCAGTTTTTAAAAGTTACTATCAAGCCTCTCCACCCGAAGCTCACCTGTTGTGATGACTGACTTTATAGGGATTACGCTAAACGACGTCACAAAGCAGCAGCCAGGTGAGAGTGAGTAACCATGGTGACTGTCTGTCAATCAACCATGTCCCTCCCCCTCTATGAATTAAACTCTCCTGTCAGTAAAACTTACTTTGATCATGTGTCACAGAATGAACACATTCTGTATTATGTTTGATTATATATAAACTAAACTAAAGTTAGTCCAATGATGTCATAAAAAAACAACAAATGTTGAACTGGTCAGTAACTTACAAATTTGTCTAAAGATCATTATGAAAAAAATCGTGATAAAATCGTGATCGGGATTTTGCCAAAAAAAAAAGGCGTTTTGAAAAGTTCTACTCGATATTCCGTGTTTTTTTTTATATATATATATATATATATATATATATATAGATAGGAGTCCAGCACAGCAGCAAGCAGCTGTACATCAACATTATTAAAACACAGCCATGAGAAGCTTCAGTTTTGATATGAGCAAGCAATCAGTGCATTTACAAGAGGGTTGTACGGACAGTGGACCTTCTCTCTCTCTCTCTCTCTCTCAAGCTGATGTGATTCTGCTCTCTTGGTTTAGCCATCTTCTCTCTCCGCAGGAGTCGAGAGGGATCTTTTATTTTAAACGCAAGTTTTGTTATGTTGCACGGAGCCGTGAGGTCTGCTCTCTCGCGCGTTCTCCTGGCACACAGCAATTTCATGAAAAATCAAATAAAACCAGGCCATAAATGTACTTGGACGGCCCGCCCATGTATCATCTACGTGTGGGAAACACTAATATGAAATCATTTATAAAGTGATCCTTTGAAACAAGTCTCCTTTGAGATCAAAGCATAACAATAAAAACAAGGACAACTGTAGTGAACTTTGTCCTGCATCATTTCCAAAAGACTGTTGGAAGGTGACTCAAATATAAGTCGGTAGATAAGAATAAATTCTTTCACGTTAATTTCAAGTAAAAAACCCTTCTTTGTTATGGTCTACAATGACCTTTTAAGTCATGAAATGCCGTCACAATGTCACAGCTCCTTTACGCATATTATTCACAATCCAGTGGCGAGAACGAGAAGTGAGACTGAGCAGGGACAGCCAACAGGCACCAAACCAGTTTCATTATGGTGAACATTTACCCTTAGTAGGAACCTCAAGCAGGGGCCGTCTGAGTACAGCTCTGTTTATCATGTATCTGATTGAGGGTCAACCAGTTTGGCATGACCGATGCCAACCAGTGAGATCTCAGTACATGGAATCAAACTGCTTGTTTTTTTTTTTTATACACAAGTATGGTCTTATTCCCTCTTTTGGTGATACTGTGATTACATTCAATTACATATAGCATTGATAGGAAATTCTCAAACTAGTGTCGGACCCCGTCACTCATCTGCCATCTTCACACATACTTTTGCCTCTCGTCTTGGCTCCTGAGCCCCCCCTCACCCCGTCCCACAGAGAAAACTTCCCGCTGTGAGGGACATGTGTCAGCAAGCAACTCAGGGGCAGGCTGTCTAAAAATGTTCCCTGAATTTTCAGGCCTGCATGTGTGAAAACGGCTAATGATTATGCAAACTTTAGAAACTTAAGATCTAAACACAGTAAACAGAGAGGCCCGCTAGATCACATCATATGAACAATCAACATTCATTATAACGGCTACTAATCAGGTCTCAGTCAGACCAAACGCAGAGTGCAGCATCTGTGCTTAGTCTTACCAGTCTGAAGCGGGGCAGTGGGATGGCGGAGAGGTCGACAGGGCACCGCTCAGTGATGTTGACAAAGCGAGCTTCCAGCACAGTGATGGCACACAGCACATGAACCCACCTGTTCCAAAAACAAATATAGTGTAGATTTAGATCCGTTCAAGGTTCAGGGAGCAGTCTTTGTAGAACAGCATTCACTGTACTTGCTTTTCTAAATAGAATGTACAACCAAATGTTAGTTAACTCTACACACACTTCTGAACCAGAGACATTAGTTCTTTAAAAACAAGTGATTTTAATAATAAAGTTTCATGAGATAATGATAAACTCTTCGTGTGATTCTGGTGAATTATTCTGAACAGTAGAAGAAAACACAAACAAACGAAATATGCAATATGATCTATGAAAGTTCAGTTCAAATTGTTTTTTTAGTCCACAGAAAAAGAAGGAAGCAATCCGCTGACGCGGCCGTTCGCTCACAAACTCAGTGCATCCGAAAAAGTTACAAAAGTAATCCAACAAAGGCAGTCGATCGATCACTGGTATACCTGAAGAAAACGAATAAAAAAAAAGGAGCAGGATCTAGGAGGAAGAATAATCCGGTCAGACGGACCGTCTTTGTCTCAGCCCCGCCATGCGTATCCCGTCACGGTAAAGGAGACGCGGAGGGGAATCTTGGGTCTATGTAGCAGCCATTTTCTGGTTATTTGTTGTTTTGCATTTGTTTTTCGTTGTTTGTGAACAACAGGGGGCAGTGGGCACCTTGCCAAGCACATGGGTTGATTAGGAACCCTTTAAATCTAGAAGGTGTGTCACTGTTGGGTGATGCAACAGGAAGGGACACCACATGTCAATGAGACAGGTCAATGAATGCAGTTGGAAATGTTTGTTTGATTATATGATCCAAATTAAATGAAGAAACAAGAAATCTCGACTGGACATTGAACTTATTGCATACGTCAGGCCTCACTGGAACGGTGCATCAGTAGCTGTTTGTTGAGTTTGTATGGTTTATAATTTTAACTTAAGTTATTTTTGGACAAAAAGCCACAAAAAAGTAAAAAAAACCTTCCTTTTTTAACAACGTGAAGGACTTGATTGTGGAACCGAGAAACTTAAAAAAAATTTTTTAACTTTGTTGATTGTGTGCGCACGCTGTGGGCTATGCGCTGCGGATGGTTGCTGGAGCCTGTGAGCTGTGGACGAACGCTGTGTGGCCTGTATGCTGTGGACGGATGAGGGGCATGTGATCAGTGGAGGACCATGGTGGCGTGCGAGCTGTGAAGGACCGCAGCGGCGTGTGAGCTGTGGGCTGTGGACTGTGAGCTGTGGGCTGTGGGCTGTGAGCTGTGGGCTGTGGGCTGTGGACCTCCTACAAAGATGTTTTTCAAATAGATTAAACTTGTCAGAGCAGTTTTTGTGCATTTAAAAACATTATACAGGGAAATAAGTTTGGTTGAACTGGTCAGTAACTTACAAATCTGTCTAAAGATCAATATGAAAAAAATCGTGATCTTGCCAAAAGAAATCGTGAAATGATATTTTTCCCATATCGCCCACCTCTACTCTACACTGCAGACTGTAGTCTTTGTTAACAGAATGTTGCTGTCAAAACAGCTTCAATGTGCGATGAGTGCGCATTGATGTCTGCGCGTCCACACACCACACTCACTGCTCTAATTATAATAAAGTGTTAAAACAGTCATAAGATACGTGAATTTTTATTTGAGGTTTGCTGTCTTTCTGTAATTTCTAAATTAGGGACAAGCCTTGATTTCCATTTCTACTAAACAAATACAATAAAACTGTAACGCTTCTGATCAGTGAACAATTTACTCAAGGTTAAGACCATAAAATCGTTCTCCTTTGACTGTCAACATTACTTACTTGTCATCGTTGGCTCTCTGCAGAGCTCCGCCTCTCAGCGAACACAGACAGCAGTCCTGGAGGAAAAGACACACAACAATGTGTTAAATCTTTAAACTAGTGGCTCTAATAACTGACTCTTGAACCTTTAACAACAACAGAGGCACCGACTGCAATTTATTTGGCCGATTCCGATTCTTACCTCGTCTGACCTGACTATTTCCTTTCTAAAAAGCACTTTAATTCACAGCAAAAAACAAAAAGACTTTTGGACCTATTCTGTAACTAATTCTGGAAAAAACATTTAGGTTCAATTTAATGAAACACTAAGACCGTGTTTACCACAATAACAACATTTTAATAAAGAGCTCATACGCTGAGAAACATTTTGAAGTCAAAGTCGACTGACTCTGTTTAAAGTAAAGCATGCCCCCTGCTGGTCAGAATGTGTTTGTAGTCAAACTGGGCGACATTCCCAGAATGATTCACAACAACTGTCTATTGTTCTGAGCAGACAGGAATGTTGAAATCAAAGGACATTTTAAGATTTTTAGAAACAAAGTTTAGAAAAACAAAGTCTTCAAAGAAAGGGAGAGAACACTCTCACTGTCTCTGAACAAAGGAAAACCGGCACACAGAGCTGAGTTTATTTGTGTGAAGGTAGGGATGATGTGCTGGTTACATCTAAATACAAGATCCCAACCAGTCCACTTTTTTATAGTGCAGCAGGGTTACATGATGGTCTACTTCAGGTGGTCCTCAACCTTGCTCGACTCAAAAGCCTCTTACATATTTTTGTAAGAGCCTCAATCCAAAAATGTTCCTTTCTTCCCTAACAATAAGAAAAATAATTACACCAGTAATTAAGAACAGGGATAATAGTTATAGTTGATTAAGCAATGAAATCATGATGTTTAGTGCAATAACTATAATATATTATCATTATCCTCATTCATCTACACTTAAATAAGTTCACGCACATTTTGAAAAGTTTCACTTCTGCGTTTTATGATGGCACTTCTACAGATGGAAAAAGGTCAGCAGTGATGCCGTTATGTGCGGGGAACACTGATGTGACTTGCAATTAACCTTTTCTGATGACAATGTTTCCCTTTTAAATATATCGTAGGGATTTTTTCTTCCAAGTACGACTCAAAAGAGAGGCATGCGACTCAGGAGCCGTGGGTTGATTATTGCAGGTTCTACATTGTGCTGTTAGATCAAAATGAGAATTTATGAATAAATTCAAGTAATGGAATAAGCCTCATACATTATGTACTCATACATTTTTGTTCTTTTTTTGGGGAAAACAATTGAGCCACGGCACAACAATAGACTCAAATAGGTTTGGCTTTAGTAAATGCAGTTGAACCTTGATAAAAAAAAGGATTTATTTCCAGCACTAACCATTAAAGTTTATGTCATATTAGTCATATTAGTGCATGTTGGTGACAGTTTTGTTTTTTATTACAATAAGTGAAGCATGACTTGATAAAACTGATCAGACACTTAAAAGTTCTTTACTACCAAGTGACCTAGAACAACAGCTCTGCCTCTCTATTATTATGTTGACATGTAATAAAAAAATATTTTAATTGGAAAAATCGTTGTAGCCTATAGGAGTCCCAATCAACTAACCTCAGTGACGGCATCTGCCTCGCAGCGGGCGCACAGCCAGTCATCGAGCTCGGCTCCGTGGCCAGACACACATAACACCTCAAGAAGAACAGAGAAAGGAGTCACATGTTTACTGCAGAAGTCATTCATCTGTTTGGGTTTCATGAATGTAAGGCTTTTAGTCCAAGAGAATCCATCTTTTTATTTAAAAAAAAAGATAGATTAACTGCCAGCATCCTGTATTTTATTTTCCTTTATTTGTTATTTAATCAGACCATAAACGTTATCTTTCAACATTTGCATCATAGGTGAGAAATAGCATAAGATTCATGTTGTCTTTAAATTAAAAAAAGAAGTGAAAAGAGAGCAGGGCGCAGAAAGCTGTGTTCTTCAAGCCTCTCATTTTTAATACAAAGTATTAGTGGAAGTTTGTGAACCTCCTCTAATTAACTTTATATATAAAAATGGATCAGAGCGGATGAGAATATTTAAAGAAAGAATTCCGGAAGAGTTACAATCTATACATGCACACACCCACATCACAGACTTACTGGTATGTACGCGAACGCAGCACTGCGCACAGCTGACCAGCCGGCTGGTCCCGTCCTCCATACATGAGGGTTTGACAGCTGTCCCTCCGCGCTGTCGTTCATCTTGCTTGCTGTTTGGGTGTTGAAACACATTTCAGGGATGAGTGGCTTGGACCACTGGCGGCCACCTGGACGGTTCACCAGCGTCACACATGAGCTCGCACTGCTGAGTCGGACTGTGGGGGGAGCAAAGAAGTCCAGAGGCCTGTTAGTACATTTACGTCACACGTATCTCCCATGAACATCAGATGATCCAATCGCCTGGTAGAATTAAGACACATTTCAACATGTTGTGTTTTAAATCAGGTCAACTTTGTAAACATAATTATAACACAACTATGACAAATGAATATATTAGATGTTTTCTTCATTCATAAACTATGTGCAACCTGTGACATATAGAACTACATTAATAAAAATAAATATTTAACTTTCTAGAAATAATCACATTTGACTCATGACATTACATAGAAATTAACAGTGGTGCATTTTCTTTTCTAAGACATTCCAACAACAATTATGTGTAAAACATATAAAGCATGAGCAGACATCTGTATTTGACTTCAGATTTGATATAAATAACTCACCGAAAAGTTTGTTTTTATTTAATTATCTTAGTACATTTTAGACTTTTGTAGACTGATTTTAGCAGTCTTGTATTATCTGTCCCGTTTTTTTCTTTTTGATCTAATGTCTGTTTTCTAATTATTTCTGTAATGACTCAATGTCATTGTAAATGAGGGTTGCCCCTCAATGATCTTTCAAGTATAAATGTAGGTTGAATTTGGTCTGGATGATGTATTTTACTTGCTCATGTTTTTTAAACATTCTATTTTTTTTAAAAGAATGCTTTTGTATGATTTTTTTAAGTGTATCAATATCCTGAAGGCAGACTTGGATATGATTGAAAAAGGACTTAAGACATAACCCGTACTTTATATGTGAACATACTT